AAGATATAGCAGAATCTTGAGCAGTTGATTAAAATATAATTCTTTACGTTTAACTTTACATTTAGAAATTTCTTATAAGCTCTTTAAAAGTATTATTTAATTTTGTGGATGGATTTTATTCAAAAATGTTTTAGTTATTGATTTAATTTTTATAAGTTTTCGTTAATTACATATATATATAAGTTTTCGTTAATTACATATATATATAAGTTTTCATTAATTACATTAGAAAATTTTTTAAGGATTACAAAAATTAAGATCAAAGTTTATTGTATTATTAATGTTAAAATTATGCAATATTTCTTTTCTATTTATGTAGCTTCTTCCTTAAAATACTTTCTCAAATATGACATATTTTAGCTTCTGAGGCATCTTTTAAATGGAAAACTATAAGTCAATTTATAATTGATGCTCTATTCAGTCCATTTCAAATTAGAGCACCTTTTATTTTAATAATAACGAAATACTTTAAATAGTACTTAACTTTCTCTGAATATTTCTGAAAGGGAATAAAATAAGGAATATTTTTTAAATATTATTTTAAACTTGTAACTGAGTTATTATAAAATATAAGGGGAATAATTCTTTTAATTGTACTTATCAGATTTTTCTTACCCATAATTTCAACAATACGTATTCCAAAACTCTTCTTTAATATTTTCTTAAGTACGCATCTCATAGAATTTGCTTTACACAATACCTTTTAACAGATTGCTTTCCAGTACGAACAATTCTTGCTTAAATAGATTTATAACGTATTTGTCAACAGGATTTCAATTTATGTTTATGATTCAATGCTAAGTTTATTATATATTTAGATAATATTTATAATCATTATAAATTTAGATATATTTAATAATCAGATTTTTTCACAGTAACTTTCACTTGTTTATGAATGAATAAATCCTTCATTTCAAATACATTTATAAATAATTTAATAAATATTTACATATTTTGTTAAAGGCAGATACATGTTTTTTGCAAGCACATGCATAAATAAATACTCATACATATCTCACATTTTTCATTTCAGGCATGTGCAAATCTTTAATTTCTGTGCATTCACTATATTTTTCGAGTAAAGTAATTTACACTAATTTAACATATGCCCAAAAGTTTTACATAAGAAATATGTATAAATATAATTTGAATGAAAATTATATGCATTACTTTAATACCCACTCAAAGGTAAGTTTTTCTTCAAAATTCCTCCATGATGGCATCTTTCCTCTTAGGCAGATAACCGTTGCCTGCGTTACTCTATTTAATAAAAACTTAACCTGACATATGTGCCTAATTATAAATATTTTAACATGCATAATTTTATAGTTACATTTAGCCATCAAGTTTCAAACTTTTGACTTAAAACGTGTTTTAGGATACATTCATCATCAAATTCAAATCTTCTAGAAAATATACTTTGGCAGAGCACTCAATACCTCTTTTATCGATTTTACACAGTTTAATAATTCTCTGATAATATAATAAATAATAATAACTAAGTAAAACGTGTAAGCTCAAAGTGATTATTTTTCAGATATATAAAAATAAAATGAGCAACAGTGAAGCCTCTCCTCTAAAAAATTTTAAAAAGTACATATTACAATAATATGTGGATGTGAAAAAAATAATTTTATTTACAACATTTTGGCATTTGGAACATAAAATAAAAGTAGCAAATACTGTATCAAGGGTATCGAAAGATGTATACAATTTTAAAGGTACCGTAAGGTATTTTTTCATTCTTTAAGCATAACATTTTTGCTAAAATATATAACATAGTTCAACAGCTTAGAATTTTATAAAACAAATTCATAATCAAAATCGCTGTTGTTAGTTACCGAAAAACAACCAAGATGTGATTTTTGCATAAATGTCACAACTATACAAATTGCTATTCTCCATCACATTATGAATGTTTCTTTTATGCGAAAGTGTCCTGTTTTTCGATTTGTATGGAACTGTTGTGTGTCGAAATACAATCAGAGCACTATCAAGCGAGCTTCTGAATGTAAAGAAAAAACACTCCATATGGTGACCGAAGCTTTGAAGTAATGCTTCACTTCTAGTGTCAGTTTAGCTACTCCTTCCTTTCTTACCTCCATGATATTATGTCCAAAGGGTGTTTTTTTCACGGGGGATTCAAAACAGGATTCAGGATATGAAAAGTGGTACAGCCAGTCAAAGTCATTTGATGCAAAATAAAATTAGACATTGTAACATCTTTGCATTGCTACACTACCAACATAATACCAGTAAGAAATGTTAAAAAAATTACATATAAAATATCCGTGCTTGAAGATCCATGCACGCTATGTTAATGTTAATGGAACATTTTGAAATTGTTAAGTTTATTAATCAAAAAGTCGTTAAAGTTTTACAAAATATGAGATATATAATAAAACAAATTCTAAATTTGGTCTTCCAGATGCCCGTATTCAACTGGAGGACTACATTATTCAAAATTCGATGTCTCTAGGTACAGTTGTTTTTTCACAGTGCGAGAAACGTACATACATTAATGCAGATTCTTCATTATTTAATTTAATTAAATATGACACAGGGTTCTAATATTTTGTGGCACTAATTTGAAAAGGGAAACACCATTTATAGTGAAACAATGCAAAATGCCAAAATGAAATTAATAGCCCTTTTGGGCTAAAAATAAAACTGATATTTGCATTATTAAGAAGTGTGAATATTGCTTTTTATCCCTTGATTTTTAGGCAATTGCAGGCTGATTAAATTTGAAAGACAATTACAGATTTTATACTTTGCCCAATGGCAACACTCTAAGACTATTTTTTGAGCGAAAAATAAATTAAAAAGCTTGCAGTGACAACATTTGCCAATGCAAGTGGATATTATATGCATCACATAATGATACATTAATACGTTTGCATAATGAGTTTTACCGTCTGCATAATGAGTTTTAACTACCATCGCCAGTTTTAATGTTAACAGAAGCATTTGTCAATCATAACAAGCAGCGTCACTATTTTCGCATGCAGTCTTTTAGTTGTTTTCCTGTTTTCAGTGATTTTTATAAGTCGTAGCGCTTTAAATTAAAAAACTGTTGCACTTGCGCTATTTCCCTGCAATGGAAAAAACTGCAGGGATATATTTGCCAGAAAATCGCTAAAGAGAATTGAATGTATTCTTAAAGCAATAATAATGAAAGTTTCATTAGAACGAAAGAAACAAAAACCTATTCATAGTAAGTTTAATCATTGATTTTAGGAATAAATCTAATTAAAAAATGAAATATGAATATTAGATGAAAATATGTTCATCAAAATTCTAACTTAAATTTCCAGTAACACCTTTATTCTTCATTTTAATTTGGATATTTTTGCTTTCCATCCTTTACATAATGATATAGTAAATTCTGAACATGGAAGTCAAAATTTCCTAACTGAAATCTTTCTATTGTTAAACTAAGACTCCACATTGGATAACTACTCATTTCGCTTCTGCATCTCAGCGTAGTTAGAATACTGCTTATTACTTCACTTCTTAACGAAAAAAATCTTAAAATTTTTAATGTTTTAATGGGCATGACTAATGTGCCAATCTGTTTTTAACCACAAATATTAAATTCAAATAAAAATGAATATTAAAAGTGTAGCAAGCTGCTTCTCATTAAATCTGCTTCAGTTGCCAAGTTTGTTTGTCATTACATATCTTGTATGTATGTTTCAACATCTATCTACACATTCAACATATGTACATCATCACATGTATGTATGAAATAAATTATGAATGTATGATTTTTTTTTCAATTATGCATCACCTTTCTTTTTCTTCTGTCAAAAATTGCCAGCATTAAGGGCATAGTGCTTAGAGATGTGTACCAAAAAGGCGTATTCAAATATTCACCATAGCTAACATTATTCATTACCCAAAATGACATTCTGGTATTAAATGTCTTCATTTCTTTTTTGTCAATCCCAACTGGCAAAATTTTTAACAAGAATTAACATTTCATAATTACCATAATTTTCAGCCTGTTCACAATTAAATAAATTTCTCATGCTTTTTACTGTCTGAGTAAATGATCTGTTGCTGCATTTAAGTTCAACTGTATTAATATTATAGATTTAAAAGAAGCATGATTACTTTGTAAATAAGAGAAATAGTGGATCTATTTCACCTTAATTTCAGTTTTATACCAGAATCATTTTTAATAGGCTGGTTGATATATATACTGGGAAAGTAATGCAAGACTGTTTATTTACCTTAAGATCCAAGGCATAACAATTCGTATTCATATTACACATAGAAAAAAGTAATAGAAACCATTAATTTATGTATTGCATTTTAAATAACAGGTAGTACTGAAAATTAAAGTATATTATACAGATATGTTAAAAAGTTCATTTATAAATTTGTAACACCTATATTAACTTTTTCTTTAGGCTTACTAGATAATGTAATTGGTCTTAGCTCTGCATTTTTGGTACTTTTTGAATCTACTAGTCCAGTGTTTAATAATAAACCTCTCTGAAGCCATGAAATACTTCTCATTAGAGTGGAATTTTTTATGGTTGATAGCCTCTGTTTTAATTCAAAAGATAATTATTAGATTATTTATTCAAAAGATAACCATTATCATTGTTCCTCTAGAATTTTTATTTTTCTGTTGCTTTAAAATATGTTTTATATGGTGCAAGTATAAACTATTATATTTTTACCTACTCTATTTGTATTGACAGCATTATATCGTCTAGAGAACTGTAGAGATATTCTATAAAATTAATCTAAATTTAAAATTTTGTATTTGTAAAGTTTTACTAATTTCTCTTTGGAATTATAGTATAGATCAAGTTGATTTATTATGTGCATTTTATCCTAGTAGCCTGTTAAATAGAATTTTTGGACAGAATACTAGTGTATGATTCTTTGATTAAAAAATATGAATCATTAAGCATTGAAACTGTTTGCACCTAATAAGATAGGTAAACTGTTTTCTTAACAAGTTTTATATTTTTAAATTTTAGGAACCTTACAGTGACAGAAAATGTTATATCTGTTGTCCTGGCAGTGCTGGTTGCTGCCTTTGGTGCTCTAAGTTTGTCACGAAATTTATTTGAAGATATGTGGAGTTTTATATTTTGTTTCATAATTGCAAGCTGTCAGTATACATTGCTCAAGGTTGGTAAATTTTTTGCTGTACTTATAACAGTCGTAGTAAGAAAACTTAAAACATAATTACATGTTGATTAAAAATAGATAGTAAAAAATATTTAATTTTTTTTCCTGTTTTTGTAGGCAATTGGAGAAATTGAAATTTAATTTTTATATTTTTTACTTTTAATTTATAACTATAGGCTATTCATTATATGCTATATATTTTAAATTATATTATTTTAAAACTTTGTTTCGTTATTCTGTAGGTTGGGATTTCTTACCATTGTTTCATTATTCTCAACCCAATACACAGAAAACTGTTTTTCTTAGTTCATATGATTTGGCAGTCTGTGTTATTTTCAAATCAAATCTCTGTTTATTCATTTTACAGTTATGTGGCAGTTTTAAATGCTAATGTGATCTTTTTTTGGGAGGGAAGTGCATTTGTTTGTTTAATAGTATAGTTTCAGAGTTTGGATTGGGTTTTCTTAACTGTGTCTGAACATATTATTGAAAATATCTTTCTTCACTTATTTTTTATTATAAAATAAAACATGTAATAAATTCCAATGAGTGAAATTATAATCATTGTAAATGTGTAATTAATGTTTTCCTATTACTTTCTTATCATGATAATCTGTTAATCCATATAGACATTGTACAAAATTTTATATTTCTGAAGATGTCGTTGATGAGATGTAACAAGTCTACATTTTTTATTTATTTATTTATTTTTTTTTATTTTATTTTATAGTAGAACTGTAAAGGTATATGTATTGGGTGATTGCAAAATTTTGTGCTTGATTCTTATAGGGGTTGAAAGCATAACTACATGGCAGTACTGGGGCATATTTCATGATCATTCTTGGAATAAGTAGGTGTGTTAGAAGCAGACATGTTTGAGTATAGTTCATTTATGCATGAGAGGGGTTTATCAAAATAGAAATAAAAAATATAGTTATGCCATGTTATGTTTCATGAGTTTTGAAAAGGAGTGAGAGTTGAAACCACAATAACTCATACATGGATAAAATATTAGTTAATTCATTAATGGCAAAAAATATTAGTGTGGTAGCCATTTTTCCATATGACAGCATGAAAAATAGCTTTTTTAGATGGAGTCGTAACAACTTTTGAAAAGTAGATCCTGTTTAAGAATATATAGTGAATGGAAAAAGAGGTGAAACAAGTAGGTGAAATTGCACAGCCTATGATAATGTTACTGAAGTTATTGCTATCTATTTAGTAGGGTTGTTGGGGAATAATTTTGTTTGAAATTTTCCCATTGGGAAGCACAATGAGTCAAACTAGTTCTGTGAGGAGCTGATCAAACTCAATGTAAAACTTGCCAAACATATCTGGTTTTTACCATTTGGAATGGCATCATCATCCATCCAGATGGTGCTAGGCCTGTTATTGCCCAAGTGATCCTCTGAAAATTGAAGGTGTTAAAGTAGAAAATCCTCCAGCAACTATGATGTTTTTCACACCTTCAGTCTTTAGATTTTCATCTTTTTCAATTTCCATAAAAGAGCTTGAATGGCAAGGGGGGGGGAAACAATTTCTACCAAAAAAAAAAAAAAAAAAAAAAAAGTAAAGTCTGCAGGTCTGTAAAACATTGAAAGACAGTTGTAGAAAATGAGGTGACTATATCATATACACTCTTTTGCAAAAAAATCGAAGCACCAAGCAGCACTTTTGCGAACGTGACGAAATTTGGTATGCGAAAACATCTTGATTGAACATGCAAATGACCAAAGTTTCAAGGCAATTGAACAGGAATTGCGATCATAGTGCGCATTTCTAATGCGCAGTTTGCAAAGTATGAAACCAGTAACAGAGGCAGAAAATGTATCTTTTTTTATTGCTGTGTTTTAATTCTGTAAAGAAGCAACTAAAAATGCCATTTTAATGTTAAAGATCTTGCAGACAATTAAATGACTTCGAACGCGGTCGCATTGTAGGTTTGCGTGAAGCTGGTAGGTCATACCGAGCAATAGACTGCCACCTGCAGCGTACAGACACTGCTGTGCAAAGATGTTGGCAGCAATGGTTGCTACAAGGAAATTGCCGACGAAATGAAGGTTCTGGAAGGCCAAGGAGCACAAATGCGAGGCAAGATAGGACGATTGTTTGCCAGCCCTGAACCGCCCCAACGGTATCATTGTCAACTATTCAATGCACTACAGCAAAGTCTATATCTCCCGTGGTACCGTCCACCATCTCAGGGCGCTTGTCTGAGGCAGGGAGGCCTTTAAGATATTTGCTTTTGACCCCACGACATCAGCGGAGTCTTCTGGAGTGGTGTTACAGCCGATCATCATGGCTGCCATCAGACTGCCATTGCATAGTGTTCAGCGATGAATCCCGCTTCACTCTTAAAGCAGATGACCACAGTGTTCGTGTCTGGAGAGGATGGGGCCAGCGGTCCCAATCAGCCTTTGTTTTACAAAGGCATGCAACCATTAACCCTGGTATAATGGTGTAGGGTGCTATTTCTTATAACAGCAGGTAATCTTTAGTCATCCTCCGTACATTTTTAACAGCGCAACGATATGTTGATACCATCCTGCTGTTAGTTGCATTACTCTTCATGGCACATCATCCTGGGGCCATTTTCCAACAAGATAATGCCAGGCCACATAGCATTCGCATATCTCTGGACTGTCTCCGTGTGGTTGATACAGTTTTTTGGCCAGCAAGGTCACCAGACCTTTCACCAATCGAGCATGTCTGGGGCCTAGTAGGCCGCCAGATTTGGGCACCACAAAATATCGCAGATCTGGAGCGACAACTGATGAATGCCTGGCAGAATCTGTTACAGGATGACATTAGGAACCTCTACCACTCCTTGCCTCGATGAATTCAGGCATGCATTGCCGTGAGGGGCAGTTCGACCAGCTACCAATTTGAACACTCGATGGGTGATTGTGAGCCGTGAACAGGTACTATGACCTTGATTTTTAACATAATCATTGCAGATAACCAGGTCTAGGCACCTGACGAAGTGTAAAGGCAGCAAGCCTCTACTCATGTATATATGTAAATATCTCCAAGTTAGCTAACCCTTTTTGCTAATTTTATACTCACATTCCCAAAAAGTTTTAAGTTGGAGCACCCAACAAAAGTAATAACTATTGTTAAGTCTGTTTATCTATAATAAGGTTGAAAAGATAAACAACCAAAATAGGTTGCTGTAGCAACGATGAGAATAACATGACTGACCTGTAGTGCCCATTGAGGGGTGAAGCAGGTGGAATAATAATAAATAAATAAATAATCATTTTATTATCTGTGAATGAGCTATACACATATTCAGTTACCTCAAAAACAACCACTTCCTTCATGGTCATGGTGCTTCGATTTTGTTGCAAAAGAGTGTATTAGTAAATCTTGCTCTTTTACCTAATGTAAAATTATGCTGTTCGTTTCTCAATGCTGTTCGTGCTCTGATAAAAAAATATATTTCCTTTCAGGTATTGTGATTGCTTTCCCCTTCTCAAAGGGGTTATAAAATTTTCTAATCATCCTGTATCTATTACTAAACTTTATTTAAAAAATAAATTTTCAGATTTCTTTTATTTAATAAATAATATCAAATTAAATGTTTTTATTATTGCAGAGTGTTCAGCCTGATGCAGCCTCTCCTACACATGTAAGTATTATTCTGATTTTTAAAATAAGGTTATGTATCTGGTATTGTACAAATGTATCACAGTTGTTTCTTTTCCTGATTTCCTTAAAATTAAGTTATTAAAACTATACATTAAGGGGACATACGACTTAAAAATTTTAAAATTTTCAATTTTGGGCTAAAAAAATAAAGTAGCCTGAGACAGTTTCAAAAATATATAATTTATGCATGTTTTGAAATTTTAAAGAAACAAAATCTTTCATTACAAAACTTAAACAAGCACTAGCAAACTCACCAGCTTAGAAGGGATAGATGTCTGGTGTATCGGCAGTAAAGCCATATCAGCTGGTAAAAAGTATTCATAAACTGTCTTTGACAGAACCTGTTTTATTACCTGTTCAAAGTGTGTTTAGAAGCCTCTCTGATAAAAAAATCTACTGTCAAATTATATTCACGGAAGAACTCAAAATCCAAATGAAAGTTTTAATAATTGCATCTGGACTCTCATTCTCAAAACTGTTTTTGTGAGTGTTCTCTCATTAAAATTATGTTTATTAGATGCGATAATACGTTTTAATGATGGTGTACAAAGCCGCAGTAAAGTAATGGAATTATTAGGAATACAAATAGGATTTTATACGGTAAAGTCTTTGCAAAAATAGATTTTGATAGAATTCGTTGAGGCCCATTTCCCTTACTAAAAGCTTTCTAAAATGGCCAAAAAGAAACATAAGTTAATAAAACAAAAACAGTTAGATGCAAAAATGTCAATTCAACTCGATTATGGTGCAGGAAAATATTAAAGTGATTTTTTTTTATAAATTATTAGTGTTTAAATGTTTTTTTCAGTTTTACTCAAAATGTGTTTTTTTTTTTTTTTTAAATTTTGGTACACTTTTCTTAAAAAGTATTCAACCTGGAAGGTTTACATTTTTCACGGTTGTTTATCTTAACTACTTCTTTGAAACTGTGCAGGATATAAAAAATTATGATTATTAGTTTTGGATACATTAAAATTTTAATACCATTTTTTCTATGATTTCCAAAATATTTTACTAATTTATTTTTAATATCTTTTCAAGTAAAGTGTAAAATACTGCTTATCATTCTTAGTGATATGTTTTTAACCATCATGCAACATTTGAAGATGTTTGGTGCAATATTTTGTTAACAAAAGTTTACTAAATTAGCACACTGTCACAAAAGATTAGACAAAAGTAAGAGAAATTAAACATTTTTACTCAACTCATTTTTACAACAAATCATTTTTAAAAACGTTAGGCTTTTAATTACATTTTAAATGTTTTATATAAGCCACAATCTGTCTATTTTAAATGAAAAAACGAATCTAGAGTATACGTTTAGTTTCTGAAAAGTTATACCCTAATAACTTTTGTCTCGAAATAGTTGCATTTTGCCAGTCAATTTGTCACATATCCCTTTAAAACCTTCTAAAAAGAAGTAGTAAATCCAGTATATTATTGAATTTTCATGATACCAGTCTTGCTGAGAATGTTTGTATAACATTCTCAGCAAGAGTGGTATCATGTAATTTATTAAGTCATGCAATTTACAGCATAGATTTTTTAATATTTATAAACAATATCAGTTAATTTTTGTGTAAAATACCTATGATATCAAGGTGTTGGATGTGAAGTACTGATTATTTTTTGTTGAAAAATGATTTTTCAATCGAATAATTTGATTGATTCAAATTGAATAATTTGATTCAATCAAATAATTTGAATAATTAAGATTAAAATGAAAAACAAATATTTTTATAATTTTTTTTTATTTCAATTCATAAAATCGTTAATGAACCAAAAGGAGAAAAATAATTTATCATATAGCTTAAACAGAACTGGAAATTAATTAAGCCTCTTTTGAAAATTCATACAGAGTTTTATGACACAAATAATAAAGGCATAGGCTCTTAACAAAATGAAATAATTGAATCACATTGGCAAAAGTTTAAGATTTATAAATTTATCAAATTATCCCATGTTTTTATTATTCATAGTGTAATTTGTAGATGAATTTTGTAAACAAAATTATTTAAGCTCATATTCTCAATAAGTCATATATTAAATTATTTTTCTCTTTTTAAATCATTGATTTTATATTTAAAAATAAAAGTTTATTTTGAAAAAAAATTAAATTCCTTAAACAGCTATAAAAAGGAAATTTTTAGTTTTCTTTCTCTATATATTCACTTTCTAAACTGTTAATAAATTTCTAGTTTTAATGCCAGTTTAAGGTCTTTATCTCAAAACATCAAGAAGATTTCTCCCTGCGCTAATGAGGGCCATTACCCATTCTTGTCAGGGGTGTGTTGAAATTTGCCCCCTTAGGCATTTCGTGATGGAAGAGAGAGAAAATTTCTTAGTTGCTGCTCTTAGCATATCTTTCCATTGTAACAATGTAAATTTCAACATTTTATGGTGAACCGTTTTTGAGTTATGTGACATGTACTTACAGACATCATGACAGAACTAGTCAAATGTAGATAATGTAGTAAGTCAAAGAGACAATCTCGTGTTTGCCTTCCTTTGCTCCCTGAGTTAGTCACATTTCTTTCATTTTGAGGAGGTCAAACTACATGTATATCAAATCGTATGAACTTGCAATGCCAGCTTTTGCAAAAGTTATAGTTTTTAAAATGTTCTGAATTACTGGTACAAATATGTGGCAGCTGGGGGGATGAATGAGAAAACGTTCTGGCGTACCAGCGTGCCGACCGGGAAATAAGTGCATTTCTTGATGGTACATATACAAGACAATCAGTTGACAGTGGGTTGAACTCTTACTCAAAATGATAACAAAATACTACAATGTTAATAACTAACTACCACAGACTTTGTATAGTTCTTAAACATCCTTAGGTTTTATGAAATTGGTTTTGGGTCCCTAAAAGTCCTTAATTTTGGCTGAAATTGGCAGAAGGTCCTTAATTTCAATCATCTGAAATTTCTGTCTTGTTTTTATGACTGCTGTTTTGAGTGTGAATTATCATCATGGAGGAATATTTTTGACAATTCACTGAATGATTATCTTTTGAATGGGTTCCTGGGTTATAATTTGTTCCTATTTCTAATGTAAAGGGTGGGGATACTGGAGTGTCTGAGCAAGGAGTCAAAGATAAGCATTTCAAAATTATTTCATTTTGTTTCCTAATGAAGAGCATTTAAACAAATTTCTGCTTTTGGGGATATGAATTCTCTTTTAAACGACTCTAAATTTGGTAACATATCAACATTTTGACGATTTTAAGATTAATTTCTATAGAAAATTTTTAAATTGGAGATCTTGGAATTTTTCGATTATTTTTTTTGGAAACATTATAACACTGATAAATTTAACTAAAATAATGGAAATATATTTAAATTACATTTAAGGAATAACTTTAAAATAAAACGTTTTTATTTTATTTTGCTGTCATATTATAAAATGGCATTACCTTTCCATTTTGGCGACTTATTTATATACTATTTTTAATCTGAAAAATAAACAAGATAATAAATGCTATAAAGCACAGTTTACAAAACAATTCATAGCAAAAGCAAAATAGCTATATAATTAAAAATTTCTTTTTAATTTTTTCATGGTAAGAATGGTAAGAATTTTCCCCCGTGTAATTGTCTTAGAATTGTCAGAGTGTGTATCAATTTTTCTATGAAATTAATTTTACCTAGCCCTTTTCTCTTACAGAATTGGTAGGGCTAATTTTTCTTTAGGATTTTACACATTGCAACTTGGAAAGTTTAGAACGATTTGAAGGCAAGATTTCCAGACCCACAATTCCAGAAGGCTCCAGAAAAAAATGACAAAATTAAAATGTCTTCATTATATTAACACACAATGGATGTATTTTACAGAACGTTTGTGATGAATTTCTTACTTGCCGCTAGCATTTAAATTTTTTACGACGATAGAGTTACTTAGCCAGCTTAGATTAAAATTAAATTGTGTAGTCTTTGACTACTAGTCCACATTTTTAGTTTGAATTTGACTGTAGCTGTTTAATTGCATAACTACAAGCTGTAGTTGATTTTTGTCAATGTAGGAACATGCCTGTATGTTCTAAGTTGTTTTTAAATAAAAGGTTTATTTAAACCTTTATGTGACTTTGCGGTTACTTTAAGACATAGCGATAATTTGCTTCATGTCTATAAGAGGTTTTGGGCTATTTAACTTTTACCAGATCAAGTAAAACCTAGTTACGTACACTGTTAAGAGACTGGCAAATTAGTAGATAAAACACAGAGAAACTAATGGGAACATTGGTTTGTTTATTGAAATAAATTTTTAATTGTTAAGAAAGATGTTTAAAAAGAAGAAAATTGATATAACTTAAGACAAAATGTCTGAGAAGGTTTCAAATTAAAAAGACGCATAAATATTTTGTTATGTGTTGTTGCTAGCTTTTAATCTTGAATTACCCAAACACCATTTAAGAATCAATGTTATGTCATTGATTTAAAACCGACAATTTAAAATTGCATGCATTTTAAACTGTAAAATGTTATTAGATAGGGGTTTTAATAGTGCTTTTTCAACAAATGTTTTTAAAAAATAAATAAAATTTAATAATGGTCATGTAAATCTATAACGATTAAGGCTATTTAACTACCTAATTTAATTATTTGTAACTAACTGCTCACCTTTTAAATTTATCTCTGCATATTAAAGCAAGTTATTGCCTTTCTTTAATCCTTACTGTGGTTACAAGATACAGCACAAAAATGTAAAAAATAATGTAAAACTTATTCTTTGCATCTAGTGAGTTTTAAAATAATACAAAACAACTTATTACCTCTGGTGCATTAATGGCTTATTGGAACCTTAAAATATATTATCTAGATTACAGTGTCAGAAACTCTAAATTAAGCTACATGAGCATTAACTGCGTCAGACAGATGGAGCACAACTAACTTTCAAATCTTGCCAACCTCAAAACTACATCAGGCTTTATGTTTTGTTCGGATCAACAGATCTCTCTTGGCAACCAGCAGTACTGGCAACAGCCAGTCTTCTGTTACAAATCATGCTGATTATGATTTTATTTTTCATTTTAACCTATGCCATTTGACATAATATCTACCTGCTATTTACTAAACTTCTAGACGTTTACGTGGCAAAATGATACATAAAAGAAAAAATCAGCATAAGGCAAACTGTTAGTAAAATGTAAACGGAGTTCTGACTTAAGTTGATGGAATTTTAATTGAATTTATTCAGCTCGCATTTGCTGATAGGTCCTTAATTTCTTTCATTAATGGTCCTTAAAAGTCTTTAAAGTACTCAATTTCCATGTGCAGAAATGTGAGCGAACCCTGTACTAGTAAATTTATGATGTGATATAAATAATTATTTAAATTTGTAGTTGAATCTGAAACAAATTAAAATATTTGAGAGTTAAATGTAAATATAATATTAAAATAAGTTGCAAATAATATATATACGAAAACTGGAACACAGGGGGGGGGATTTCCTTTCACTATGTTTATTAAAAAATATTTTCACAGAAAATGGCTGTTAAAAAATAAGACTAATTTTTCAGTATTATCGAAGCTATTTCCTAAAGAAATTGGAAATTTAACCCTCCGAGCGTTACGGGTTTAGCCCTAAAATTTCCGTAAAATGTCATGAATAAGTGGTATTGTCTTATTATGATTTAATTAAAAAATAATTCTCTCATTTTGTACCTTGATTCCTTTTCTTCTAATTTACGTCCAAACCAGAACCAGATATATTAAAAGCTGGTAGAAATTTTCATGTATAATGAATATAGAAGGCAGCTTTCTATATGGAATTTTCCGGTCGTTATGCTGAGAGGGTTAAAATACTTTACATTTTTTCTAATGATGCATACTGTCGACCTCTGTATTTGGTGCATATCTTGGTTAAGCTAATATATAACATAGTTGTTAATATAGAAACTATAAAGTAGCCAAATATAAGATAAAATGTTTTTTGAAGTTCTGAAAATACCATAGGCAGAAAAACTAATCTTACTCATTAAACTGAACAGAGGGGGAGATTTTCTTAATTATACCTGCATGGAACCTCACTTGTGAGGTAGCTTGAGCCGAAATAGCTGTTATTTTTGCAAAAACCAATCAAGTACTCATAATTATTTTGAATGTGGTTTTCTGAAAACGCTGCAGATAAATATTTATTCTAAACATTTATTTCCAATTAAAAAGTTTTTCAAAATATGGTTTAAAAATATAAATAAAAAATTAAATAAATACAGTCAAATACCAAAAATCCGCCGACCTGAAATCCATGTTCCCTCTCAAAATATAAACATTCTGTTTGTAGGTTTCGGAAACTGCAACATGGAGTACGAAATATTGAAGAAAAAATACTTACTGGATAATGATGTCATAATTACCAAATAAAATGAGTTATTGGAAATACCAAATTATTGACATCATGATAAAAGTTTTTTTCTCACTCTGCATAGAGGTAAAAAAGCAGATGATTCACTTTAACTCTTCCTTCAAGTACGCGATTCACGTTGTTGTACTTTCTGAGCTTTGTTATTTCACGAGATTGTTTAGTGCTGTCTTTTTTTTTATCCAGATATTTTGTGGATAAATTAAGAATATTTTAAATTTCAGTGCTTTTTAATACAATGACAGATAAGAAATGCTCTCATGATTTTACTGCTTGCAACTTTGAAAAACATAATCACGTTGCATTGATGATAATAGAAAAAGTGGAAATTCTGCAAAACATGAAAGGCAGGTGCTACTCCTCGGTTTATAGCAGATTCGTATGAAATTGCGACACGGACCGTGTGTGATATATGGAAAAATAAAGATAAGCTGTTAAAATTTTACAGCAACAGTGATTCTAACACCAGAATTCGAAACTGGAAATCTTTACACGAGGTGAAATCGGCAAACCTCGATGCAGTCTCGTACGAGTGGTTCCGGCAAGGGCCCGAGTGATGGAGTACCAATTTCAGGACTGCTCCTGAGAGAAAAGGGGAAGCAGATTCATGTTGATTCAAAAATAGAGGAGCCTAATGTAAATGAATAATATAATATAATCAATTTATATATATAATAATAATTTAATGCATGTAATAAATTATTGTAATAATGTATATAATAATTTAATTAAATGTATCTAATATGCCTTATTTATTTTGCACTTTGAGCCTGAATATTATGATTTATCTTTTCTGTCTCGAAATTTGCAAAATCCTAAAATCTGCACAACCTCTGGTCCCAAGCTTTGCAGATTTCTGGACTTCTACTGTATTCCCCTTTTCCTTAATTATAGATGCTTCCGACAGATTTGATGTTGAACATGTTCCATTTTTGTGTACTTTGGTATTTATAAGAGTTATACCAAATTTTTTAATTTAACGTATTACTTAAACTTTTATAGAATTTGATATGTGAAACGTTATTCAGTTGTACTGTGCAAGCAGTGCACACAAATTTTGAAGGAAGGAGAACACAAGGTAGAATTAATGTTATTAGGAAATTTTAGAAATATTGTTTTCAGGTCATATTTTTCACCAACCGTGTGTAAAGTGACGCTGAGTTATGGATCCTTAATTTTTAATTCATTTATAGATAAATGATTAAAAATAAAATGTATAGGTATTTTTGCATTTTTACTGTAAGAATAGAAAAGCTAAAATAGTTATATGAGTTTATAGATAAGAAGTATAAAATAGTATTGTTACACATTTCTCTAAATTTTCATATTTTTGTGCTTTGCTAAGATTTTTTTAAAAATTTGGACAGAATTGAAATCTTATTTTCTTTCACACTTCAGTCATCAGTCTTTCTTGCACAAGGTTAATCGCATTTTTGAAGTCCTGAAGTCTTTGTTGATACCAGACTTTAGACTTTTCTAAAAACTATGTCAGCTTGTAAAAAAAAAAAGAGGAGGGTCCAGTTTGTCAGTACATTTAAAGTATAAAAGATTCATGTACTGAGTTCTATGATCTGATGAATGACATAGCCTTTTAGTAGGAATTTTAATCTTCTTAGAAACATAAATGTATATTTAAACTGAATGTTTATGAACACTGTTTCTTCTTCTTCCTCTTCTTTTTTTTAGTTAAATATATTTTTATTTTATTCTTTTGTTTTATTTATTTACGTTTTGGTGAATAATTTATTTTGTATTTTATTTATTTATTGTTTTCGTATGTGTAACATGAATATGAACCATATAGCCTTTTAGTAGAAATTTTATTCTTCTGAAAAACATAAATGTGCAGTTAAACTGAATGTTTATGAACATTAAATGTTTATTTTTTTTTTCAGTCAAATATATTTTTATTTTATTCTTTTGTTTTATTTATTTATGTTTGGGTGAATAATTTATTTTTATTTATTTATTTCCTATGCATAACATGAATCTCAGCCAGATTACCATAGAAAGTCCTTTATGAAAGCAAACTTCTCTTTAACCTTCTGTTTAATATGCTTTGCCGTAACCAACCAATCTAATTCTTTTTATATAGTTCATTTTGTATACATTTTGCGTTTCACAGTATATGAACCCTAGTAATACATCTTGAAAAATATCTTGGTTTGATGAATTTATTATAGAATATCTCCTTTTATTTTTATAAATAAAGTTATTATATTTATTTTATTAAAAGTATTATGAATATTTTACTAATTAAAATTTTCATTATGTTGGAATCATATGAAAAGTTAGATTTTATATTTACAGAAATTTATGCATCAATGTTAAAAAGGTTTCATAGAATTATCTATCATATTCTGAAGAACTTATTAATTGATAGAGCATATCTAGAATGAATGTTTGTGAAATAAAGACTGTGGCTACCTTTTTCAATCACCATGTGTATGTTGATCAGTGTTATGTACATTTAGTAGTTTTTAATTAATGTTAATGTTAAAATTTACTTAAAAAGCAAAATATTTCATATATAATAAGAGTCACTTTTATTATTAGGGTTACAACAGAGTCATTTTGTATAGCCGTCCTGTATACTTTTGTCTCTGTTGCTTGCTGTTAAATGCTTTTCAAACAAGCATTGATTATAGGCTGACATTACCTTCAGTAACCTTGTATGGGATTGCTTTATTGTCTAGTGATCTCATTATCAAAGCCAAAGATATAGCTGTTAGTAAGTATAACTTAAATTTTCAGACATTTAATTGTAATTTGTGTACATGAATGAAATGAGACTTTTTGTGTTGCAGTAGAAATAAATTATACATTACCGCTCCTTTTTAAAATCCAATGCTTAAAAAACAAACTGTTCTGAATTCTTTTTTTCTGTGAATTCTCATAAATTTAATATGAAAGTAGAAAGTTTCTTTAATGCATCCTTTAATGAAAACTGATAGTTACTAGTGAAGGGGCTAAATAAGAAAATAAGTAAGCCACTGAAACCATCCCTCTTTCCCCCCCCCCTCTCTCTCTCTCTTTTTTTTTTTTTTTAAAGAATGGAGTTTTAGAGCATAATCTTTAGACTGTAAATTTAAATTTTTCTTAATGTTTAAGAGATATTTTAACATTCATAGTGTAATTATAAAAATAGATTTAACTTTAATATAATTATTATCTCCCCCCCTGATACTTTCAGTGTGTGAAAAATAAACTACTTTTTTTTTTCTGATAACCTTTTATTTATTCCACATAAAGGAAAATAATGGAAACTTCAACAAATGATGTAACTTTCAGACACTTTTAGATGTACCTTTTTCTTTGCTTTTCATTTTAACCACTTTATTATTGCTTTTTAGCATGAATTTTGTACTTATTTGTCCATTTTACAACACCCATCTGTTTTTAGAACATTAATTTTATGATTTTTATGATTCAGTTATTCCCCCCCCCTTTTTTTTTGTTTGAGCGAAAAGTTTAGATTCATGAATTGAAAAGTATTTGGAAAACTCAGAAAGAACCTTATAAGGTATTTTTTCTCTTTTACCCATGTGCCTTTGTGGTATAATGGTAGCACACTCGGCATGTATTTGAGAGGACCAGTTTCGAGTCCCAGCGAGGGCGTTAATTTTTCACATCTCTCGCTTTTAAAAAAATCATGATTCTACAGCGGGGCCCAAACTAAAAGGTAGTGGATTATGTTTCTTCACCACCAAGATTTGCCGACTTGGTCCTCTAATCCCCAGTCATCTTGTAAAAGGGGGAGTACAAGAGCTATTTTCTCCCTCCTTCTAGCATGCCTTCATGGTTCATAACCATAATCTTAATCTGAACACTTATTTCCACAGAAAACTTGTGAAAGATTAGAATGATGACAGAGTATAATCATAGTTTATAAGAGAAGATTCACAAAAGATTACAAAAAAGGTTTTATACAAAACGTTCACAATTTATAAAAAACAGTTCAAGAAAAGGTTTCTATTCAGAAATAATTATGCTGTAATTATAATAGAAATGTGTTCGTGGATGAAAAGAAAATATGATCTTAGGCAGAAGTTCTCTAATTTATGAATTCACAATTTTTGCTCTCTATCTGTATTATCATATAAAGTTGTTAATCAATTCTTGCAGTAGCATTACCCATGCATACTGTGTGAATTATACACTGAATGATATCACTTCAGAATGTTACATATAAGTTTTATGGGCAATATGTGAGTTAATCTTTCTGCTGAATAACCTCACATTGCAGCAGCCCAAGTGCAGTTATATGTAGCATTTGAATACATTACAGCTCTTTCATCTGGAAGCAGAAATCTTGGATAATAATATCTTTCTGAAGAGAAAATAGTTAAGAAGTAAAGTTGTGAAGAGTAATTATAATTAACTGTTGCAATAGGATTCAAGAATTACTGTAATTATTTCCTGTGCATAGAGTTTCTACATTTATCCAGTTTACTGCTTCTCAGTACCATGACCAAATTAATCCTTTTCTGAGTTGTGTTTACTATGATATCATATTTCAGCTTCTTATCACATTACTTAAAATTGAAGCATGATGTCGTACTTTTAATTAGTGAGACTAGATATACTGCATCAGAAAATACCACCTTCTGTTTTGTTTGCTTTGTGTACTCTTTTTACCATTGCTAGATCATTCCTCCTTCCTTTCCAAAAGTCGAAAAATGCATACATGTGTTTATTTAGATTATTCTTAATATATTTTATAAATTAGACTGCAAAAAGTATCACAATTAGAAAATTTTGATAAATATCTGAACTAAAAAAAAGTAGCTTTATATTCATAGCTAAGCATAAAAGCATTCATAGCATGTTCATAAAAGTAGCTTTTTATATTCTTAAACTAAAATACTTAACAACTAAATAAAATGCTGACCATATTTCCTTCCTGAATCTGTTGAGTCCCCTTGGTTGAGAACCTTTGTTGTAGACTTATTTTTCTACAGTTTTCTGTTTTTTAAACATCTGACTACAATAAATCATAACATCACATATTCTTTGCCCATTTATACTTCTTTATAATGTCGCCATTAGAGATTGAGCCTTTAGCCTTTTAGGAGTATGTAATAGTTTTGAGCTGAATTTTCATAAATGACTACTGCATTTTCTTGCTGTAACTGAAGTCATCTGGGCATGTACTCTTCCATAATAGAATGCTAGGAACATTGCCAAATTGTTTGTTGCTTTTATTTCATCTCTTCTTGATTCTGCCATTTATTTGAGTGTGAATAAATCTTCCAGATACAGCTGATGGGTTGTTCTGTCATCTCTAAGCATACACAAAAATCACTTGAACTTTTGTATTGAAGATGCACCATATATTTACTTCCTTTAATTGATTCCTTGGACTACATCCAATAATTGTCTCACATTATACAAATTTCTTAGAATTGCTATATGTAAGAACAGTTTAAGAGAAATAGGAATTGAACTCTGGTGAAGTGCACAAAGGTTTCTAAAAAATAAGCGCTTATCTGAAATATCTGACTTTAATGTTTTATTAGTATGTTATATGAATTCTGTTATAATTTAGTTAATAATCCATTTGTGCTGTGTTTTGTTGTGGTTCTCAACTGTATTTGATCTGGCAACTTTATGAATTCTTCATGTATCTGATTGAGCAGATTAACATTACATCTAGTGCAAATTTTATAACAGTTAAATTGCTTTATGATAAATTTTACATGGATTATTTATAGGCATGCAACTAATAATTTAAATATATGTTTCTGTAGTTTTTGTGCTGTTCTTTCCTGTGATCTTCAGTTTGGGTTTACTACCACAAGTTAATACATTCCTTATGTATCTGATTGAACAGATTGACATTCATATATTTGGTGGAACAGGTATTATTTATTCCTAAAATATTTTTTATCTAAAATTAAATTCCATATTTGTGTATTTTCTCTTAATATATTTTTTTCTGTAGAAAGGACAAGATTCTGAAGTTTTTCAAAGTAAATATGTAATTTCTCCCTTCTTAAAGACATTCAGAAAGAGAGCTCCCTAAATTGTAAAATGGAAAGCCACTTGTGAAGGTCATGTCAAACCTTCTCCTTTTCACTCACTATTAATGATAACTTGCCAAAAGTAATAAAATGTTCTTATGAGGGCTTTGGGCTTTGTGAGAAATAAGTGGGATAAGCTAGTAACTTTGTTACTAGGCAAGAAGACCTTGGTATGTTACAGAAACTGTTATAAAGATGTTGTCTAAATGTTTTAACTGTTAAACTTTATGCCAAACTGGTGGAAGAACCAACCAGTCACAGCACAGGAAGCACAAACTGACATTTGGTCTACAATTTCACTGAACCAATCACACATTCAGACATGCACAAGTTTACCTTTCCTATTTATCTTCATAACAATATTTTAGATAAAAAATTTGTACTGAGAAGGTTTGAGGTGTGTGTACTGTGTATTTTCAGAACCATGGGTGAAGTGTAGCTGCACAGCAAAAATTAGATTTGAAGCTTTGAAATTCATGTGTATTAGTAGTGTCAGACTTGTCTGTAATTAGTTTGATATTGAACCTAGTTTGATTTGATACTGGAGGGAGGAGGAAAGATGCACTGTTAAAGACCATTTCAAAGTGGAGAACATTTCAAGGACTAAAAAATCGAAAAGTTTCCAGAATTTGACAGTGAAGTGCTAAATTATATGATAGAACTAATGAATAAATGGCATAATTGTCTCAAATGAAATGATGCCAATGAAAACAAGGAATGAGATTAAGAAATGTGGCATTAAAGCCCGGCAGTATGAAATGAGCATAGAATGAACCACTTATTTCATGAAATGAAAGAAAATGGTGAACAACACTTGTAATGATGCTGTCAAAGTATTGTAATGAAAAAGTGTTGGAATGTCACAGGTTTGTAATCCAGCAAAGAAAAGATACAACTACGAACTTAGCCATATGGAAAACATAGATTAAAATCTTGTATTTTTTTATATACCTTTCAATACTATAATGAGTCAAGAGGGGCTATCTTCTGGGTACTACAGAAACAATAAATATGCAGTACAGAGTTACATTAGCAGTGACCGCTGACTGTAAAAAATTGCTGCTTTTTGCATTTTTTAAATGGAAAATGTTACTGAAACAAAAACTTCTTAATGGTATTATAATCAGGGTACACAAGAAAGACTGTGTTATTTGAAAATTGTTGATGAAAATGTAGCTGTGTTGATAAAAACATAGCTCAAAATTGCATGGACCACTGACTCTTCTGCACAAGAAGTCACCATTAATATTGGGCAGCTTAACAGTTAGTGTTGGACAGCAATGCAATATCTCTTGGAAGGTTTAAAAAAAAATAATAGCACAAACACCATTTCTGTTCTCATTCCTGGAGAACGTACATTTTCTGCAACCAATGACTGTACCATTCAAAGACCATCGCTGAAAATTTTATAACAAGTGAATGTTAGCAGGTTCACTCAGTTCTATTAGAACCAACTGTGTTAATGAAAAAGTTTATGAAAATATAACTGTGTTAATGAAAAAGTGGCTCAAAATTGTATGGACCACTGGCTGGGTGCTCTTCTGCATAAGAAGTCACCATTAGTATTGGACAGCTTGCAGTTAGTGTTGGACAGGCAATGTAATATCTCTTAGAAGGTTTTAAGAAAAATAACAGAACAGGCAACATTTGTGTTCTCATTCCTGGAGAACATATGTTTTTTGCAACCATTATTGGACAGCTTGCAGTTAGTGTTGGACAGGCAATGTAATATCTCTTGGAAGGTTTTTAAGAAAAATAACAGAACAGACAACATTTATGTTCTCATTCCTGGAGAACATATGTTTTCTGTAACCATTGGGCATATCGGTGAATGAATCATTCAAAGACTATCACTGAAAATTTTATAACAAGTGAATGTTAGCAGGGTCACACAGTTTTGCTAGAACCAGAAGAATCCAGAAATATCTAATACTTGTAGTAATTGTGAAAATCATTACACATAGAAAGACACACTGAATAGTGATGTCAATAATACGGAAACTGTAGCAGATGACACAGAGCAGTTCCAGCAGCATTGAATGAATTGAAGAAAAGGGCATAACAATAGACAATAATAAAAGTGGGCAAGATTTAAAATGCAGGGAAAGAGAAATGAAAATATTTTACTGGAATATAGGTTTCTTTTAAGTAAATAATATGATGATAGTTGTCAATAATTTTTGCATCCATACTTTTAATTTATCTTCTCACTGCAGTTGTGTCCTTCAAAATTAAATTATTTGCATAATTTTCCTCTCTCGATTTTCATACAATATAATTAGTAAAAAAAATGGGGAAATTCGCTAGTAAGTACAGTAATTAATGACTTCTTTATTTAATGTTTTATTTTTAACAGTTTTTTCTTTTGATTGCCAATTAACATACAATGGAAAAAAAAAATGTGATAATTATTGCACTGTATGTGATTAATTCGTCTTCATTCTATTTTTGAACAAACTAATGTTAAGTAAATAATATAACTTTTTAAAACAATTGGAATGATTTTCTGAACACTATTTGAAGTATAGTAGTAAGTGAATATAGAATTTTTAAAAATGTATTGTTAAAATGAATTTTAGCTACAATTAATGATAAGTAAAATCAGTGAAAATTAATTCAAGACACATTTATCGTCTACTTATAAATACTTAATTATAATTGATTAATTCACATTATATAAATTGGTCGTAAAATTCTGATTGCTTTTAACATTTTTTAATTGAAATTTTAATATTTTAATTATAAAATTATATACTATGAAAGTGCATTGAGTTTTTGCAATTTAAATTGTCTAAATTATAATAACAGTGTACTTTACATAATATATTATAAAGCACATTGCAGTTAAAATGTGTGATTATATTGCAACATATGGAATATTATAATTAAGATACAATAACACGATGAACAAATATTAATTTAGAAGTCAAACAACAAAAATTTGAAAATATGACTCTGATTTTTGTTGTTTGACTTCTAAATTAATATTTGGAATATTATTAATCTGATATATATAATTAACATTTAAATCCTTCATACTTTTTTCAGCTAGTACAAGTCTCATATCAGCCTTTTATTGCTTAGTTAGGAGTATTGCAACTGTTGCAGTGTTGTATGGATTAGCATATTTTGCTCTAAGGGTAAGTAATTTTATGCCAAGTTTTGAAGTATATGTTAATATGAAACATTTTTGCACTAAAGCATAGCAGTATAGTGCTATAATTTTTTACAATAGCTCTTCAAACTTGTTTGTCATGAGATGTGAGTATAAGTAACCAAAAGAAAAAAAAAAAAAAAAAAAAAAAAAAAAAAAGAGAGAGAGAGGGCTTAAGATTATCAGACAAGTGGGGAAATTTATATAACTGATGGCTGATGTGCATTAACTAATTTACATTGTGTATACTGAGTTGCTTTATATCTCTACATTACCACTTTGGTCCCCATCCACTTTAATTACCAAATTTATGATATTCTACACACAGAGAACACTTTTTCTTTTGCATTTTTGTAAAACTTTAGTAGGTTATAATTTTAGTACTTAATAAAATTTAATTACAATATATATATATATATAAATTTAATTACATATATGTAGTAGGGGAGTTGAAGATGCTAAATAACAGTTCCAACTTGTTGTTTTCCACACCACAGAACATTTAATAAAGATAATCAGAAAAGGTACAAATTAGATTAAATACAAGTGCCGTTTGATACAAAGAGGATTATGTATAGCTTTTACCAGTCTTATCACATAACCGATTAGTGCCTACTCGCATTTGCTGATGTATTTAACAGTACAGTCCAATTTACCACCTTCGCGTGGAAAACTACAGTTCCTTATTCTACACCTTCACGTGCAGCTCACCACCTTCGCGTGGGATAGCACAAGAGTCTCTCTGTCTATGTCATACTCATCTTTCACCTCGCTGCTGGCGCATCGGTGAGGCCCTCTGGTGGTTGTGTCGCACTTACGGATACTACAGTTCGGCCTTCCTGACGCTTTTTCGTCCTCGAAAACACGGATCAGCAACACTGGAACATCAAGACAGCACCTGAAAATAAATTTAAAAAAAAAACAAAAGAAAAGGGAAAAAAAACAAAAAGAAAAGTGCGGAAGAACCACACATGGTTTTATATAGTAGAAGTCCACGGCTTCATGAGATCAGCTGCTGTAGTGGTACATCCAGGACCTTCATGGTGTCCCACTTTTTCCACCTGGTAACGATCTTTGCCTTTCCTCGCTGTTACACGATATGGACCGAAGAACTTTGGCCTTAACTTTAGACCACCTCCATATTGCGTTCTTTGTATGGCAACTAAGTCGTTCACATTGTATACTTGTGCCTCTTTCCTCTTTTGTTGTATGTTTTTTCTATTCTCTTCCTGAATTTTTAGAATGTTTTTTCTTGCTTCTTCTCTCATATCTTCTCGATCTTTCATCATAGTATTTCTTTCTTCTTCTTCAAGAATTTCCATAATCTTTAAGTCCTCTCGATTTCTCATTTTAACACCAGTGAGAAGCTCAAATGGAGAACTCTTTGTGCTTCTGCTCTTAGTGCTGTTTAAGATCCTTTGTACATCGCCAACATATTTGTACCACTTGGTTGGATCATCTATGGATAATTTAGATAGGACTGGAATCAGAGTGAGATGAATTCTTTCCACTTGTCCATTTCCTCTAGGAACGCCTGTATGTAGTTGTAAATATGTGCTGGATCTTCTCTTGATTACAGTAATCTTCAAAGTCTTTAGAGGTAAACGCCGTACCTTTGTCACTTATAATTCTCAAAGGATTACCGAAAGTTAATTGTTGCAGTTTCAGCTTCTGCAATGCCTCTTGAGCTGATGTAGACTTTACTGGATAGAGCCATACGAACTTTGTGAATGCATCAACCACGGTTAAGATGTGATTGTAGTTCTTATTTGTCGAAGGTAATGGTCCTATAAAATCGATATGAAAAGTGCTCAAAGGGATACTATCTTTTGGTATGGGATTGAGCAATCCTTCGCTCTTACCTCGTTTTCTGTCGCACAAAATACATTCTACACAATTTGAAATAACTTGCTCAATTCGTTTTCTAAGGTTAGGAATATAAAAGTCGTTTTTTAGCAGATCTTCTGTTTTAGACACTGCGAAATGTCCCTTGTTATGGATACTACGTATGATTTCTAGCTCTAATGCTTCGGGTACCACAAGTAACTCATGACCTCTGTCAAACTTGTATAATATTCCATTTTTCACTAGAAAATCTTTCTTTAGTCCTTGCTCGACTAAGGATTTTAGCAACTGGAGACGCTCATCACTTCTTTGCGCAGCTGCAATTTTGGCTGTAATTTCTCCCTGAGAACAAGTAACCATCATGACCGCGTTTCTACTTAAGGAATCCACATGCTTCATTTGTTGCCCAGATCTGTGAACAATTTCGTAGTCAAATTCTTCTAGAAGTAACGCCCATCTCGCCACTTTAGGAGTTAGATCTTTCTTAAACATGGTCTTCTGGAAAGCATCGCAATCCGTAACTATCCTGACCTTAGATCCTAAAAGGTAATTCCTGAATTTCTTTAGAGCTTCTACTATAGCTAAAACTTCAAGCTCATAACTAGATAGCTTCTCTTGTTGGAGACTCGTTTTTTTACTCATGAAGTAAATGGGGTGTAACTGTCCATCATCTGACTTTTGTAGCAATACAGCGCCGAAAACCATGACTGCTTGCGTCTGTATGCAATCAATTGTAATGGTGCTCCTTGTTTAAAAATATGAAGAACCGGACTTGTGGATAAAAGTTCTTTCAATTTATTAAATGCATCTTTTTGTTCAGGCCCAAATTTGAATTCTGCTCCGTTACGAAGAAGATCACTTAATGGTTTCGCTATTTTTGAATAATTGGCAATAAATTTCCTAAAATACCCAGTAAGGCCCAAGAAACTTTGAATCTGCTTAAGGTTTTTGGGTTCCGGGAAATTTTGAACAGCCCTGGTTTTTTCAGTAGAGGGGCGAATTGTACCATCCTCAATAACATACCCGAGAAATTCTATTTTTCTTTTCAAAAATTGGCATTTCTTAAAATTAATCTCCAAACCATATTCTTTGGCTACTTCTAAAACGTGTTTCAACTTTTCTAAGCCTTCTTTCTCATTTCGTGCTGGAATAATAAAATCGTCCATGTAAGTAACAACAGTGTCATCCCGAATTAAATCTCTAAACACATTATAAATAAATCTTTGAAACACACTAGGGGACGTGCACAAACCAAAAGGTGCTTTTAGAAATTCGTACAAGCCTGAATGAGTAATAAATGCCAAATATTTAGTGCAGTTTTCCTCAACTGGAACATGAAAAAAACCATTCTTTAAGTCTAATGTCGAAAAAACCTTTGCTTCACCCAAACGATCTAAAACTTCCTTCTACTTGTGCCATAGGAAAAGAATCCTTAACTATTTTTTTATTTAACTGCCTGAAGTCAACACAAATCCGTGTCTTGCCACATTTTTTTTCTACACAAAACAATTGGCGAAGCATATTCTGAACACGACGGCTTTATAATCCCATCCTTTAACCATTCATCTATTTGATTATCAACAATTTTTTGATCAGCAAAAGGAATTCTCCTCGAACGCTGAGAAACTGGAATATCATCTTTTAATATTACTTTCATTTTTAAGTCTGTACTGCGCGGCTTTTCTAACGGTTTATACTCATTAATAAGAGTGGAAACAGTATTGCGTAATCCTTCATCTTTAATATGCCATAAATCTGTTTCGCTGTCTGCCTCAATGGCTGCAGAAATAAAAGACAAAAAATTCCTTTCCGAAGAGACGGAATCATTTTCATATTGCGTAATCATCACCTGGTCACAACAGATCATTTTTAGACAGGAAGGGGGGAAAATACAGTCTGTTATCAATTCATCAACTATCGCTGCTTCAATCTCTTTTTGTTTTTTGCTTTCGCATAAAGAAAAAATAAACTTAGCCGTTTCCGCTTTAACCACGTGACCAAACGAACTTTTGAGCTCGATACATCCACTTGATAATTTATTCGGAAAAAGGGATTTCTTTACAACTATCAATTCACTTCCAGAATCTATTAAACATTTTACTTTTTACCATCAATCAACAGTTCAATAAATTCTAACTTATTTCTAGCTGCATTATCCGAGTCAATCTCTAACCCAGATACCTTTTTTGGAGACAAACTTTCCTCCTTTCCTAACCGTTTGGGACAATTTCTAGCAAAATGAAATAATTCCCCTTTACTCCCACAAACATAGCAAATACGTTCTGGTTTACTACTGCCCTGATTTACAAACTTCCCTGAATCCTTGAAATTGCTCTGCTCTGAGCTTTTCTAAGATTGTTTTTGGAAAAATTAAGCTTTTTATTTTCTGGAGTTTCGATTCGTGTGTTACTGGTATCAACTAAAGATTTACCCCTGGATGAATAAAATAAATCACATTCTCTTCCCAATTGATTAGGTGGGAACCAACTTTGACCCTCCCGAACACTAATATGTTCCTTTGTTTTAGAATCAAGAGTTTCATACAACTTATCAGATACAATAAGATCACACAATTTCTTAAAGTCATCTACCTCTCTTAACTTGCAATAATAATTGAAAGTTGCACTGAGTCGAGACGCGAACTGAACATGTGATTCAGATGAATGTCTCTGCGCATTTTTAAAATTGTTCAAACACTCACGCGGTGTTGGCTGAAATTCTTTCAAGATTAGAGTTTTTAATTTATCATAATCCGCGATTTCTTGTTCAGAAACATACGTTAGAACATTATTACATTTATCACCTAATATATTAATCAACACTTCTGATTTTAACTCCACTGGTACACTTTTAGTAGTAAAAGCTTTCTCAAGTGACTGAAAAAACAAATGCATAGCTTCCGGTTTCTGAGGTACAGCTATAGTTAGTGTTTTGACGCTTTTAATAATATCTTCAACACTAGTCTGCGCGTTTCTTCTATCACTCGATAATGATTGTGATTTTAAACTTTCTAATTCAATCTGCTTCTCAATTTGAGCTAGTTTAAGACGTTCGATCTCTAACAAATAGTGTTCATTACTTGTTTTAGGCGTCCAATCCTCTGCGATCGACTTGACGACGCCACGAACAAATTCAACGTTC